CGACCCGAGTTACTAAGCTCGTAGGGGTGTCTTAACACCTAATGCCCTAAGACCAACTGGTCTGGGAGTCATTAGCTGAAAGCTCGTTACATGGGTTAAAGATGCATGATGTTTTTAAAGTATATGTATATAGAGTTAAAAAAAAAAAAGACAAAAATAGTAATCCCAACCCAAGGAAGTTAACCTTAAACATTAGAACAAAAATTTTGTTTTCTTCCAAGAAAAGCCCCATAATTATGTGTTGATACATTGAGCACAAAAGAAAGGTTTATTAATATCTTGTTAAGTGGTATTGAGCAGATATATAAATTTAATGAGAGTTTGTTTATCTGGATAGACTAATGGAAGTTAAATGATGAATACCTTGCTTTGTGGAATATACAAATTGTTTTTCTATTTTACGCTTTGATTACTAGGGACTAGTAATAAGCTGGTTGGGGGGTGTGATTAGTACTTAAAAGTGCATTTTTATCATGGTTTTATATCATCATTTTGCACTTGAAGTATCAATAACTCCTTAACTAAAATATGTTTTATAATAATGTATCTAATAATATAAGATACCTTTAATTTGTGGTAAATGTCTATTTTTAATGCAGGTCTATCACATAAATGAAAGGATTGATTGATGACTTGAAGAACTTAAATTGCATGGATAAAGAGATGGTCAAACTTAGAGAAGAGATGTCGGTGCAATCCAAACCGGAACACTGTTCGGTAATTGGGTCATATCTAGAGCTATATATCTCAGATTTAGGTCCAATTTATATGGATGGAAAGGTAAGACATAGGCCTACAACTTTCATATGGAGCCCAAGATCTAAAAAGGCCATTATCAAGTCCAAATTGTAGAAACAACAAAGAAGCCCGAATCTGTCTTCCAGCCCGAGCACTGTTCGGTATTTTGGCCATATCTGGAGTTCTAGAAGTCCAAATGAGCTGAATTTTTTACACAAGAAAGCTGAGACAATTGCCTACAACTTTCATGTTTGCAACTGGCTCCAGTTTTGACGTTATCAATGACGTTTTGGGCAGACAAGAGAAGATAAGGATTGTCACCAAGTCAAAAGTTGGTCACCCACTTATCAATTAGTCATCAAATCAATAGTTTCCAATTTTGGCCTATAAAAGGAGGCATTTGCCATGCATTTAGGCATCTTGGTGTTCAGATCAAGATCATGCTCTTCCTTTCTCTCTTTGTATTTTTTATGCTTTGTTTTCATTAATATTAAGTTTATGCCTTTCATTTCCTTTCCTTTACTTAGTTAACTTTTATGTTCTTATTTTGTTTATCTATTTTGCTTTCTTTCATTATGTCTAGCTAAGTTAATTATGTCAAGGTGAAAAGGTTACACTAATGGTGTGAGAATAAGTATAATGTAAACTTAATATGGACTTTAATGTTTGATACTAACATGTTTTATATTTGTTATCTTGTTTACTCTTTAATACTTTGCTTGTTAAATGACTAATCTTGATTTATGTTGTATAACACTTGGTACAACAAATGCTTGGCACTTTCATAGCCCATAATGTATGGTATAACCGACACCTGAGCTATGAAAGGAACTTGATTTGTTGTTAACATAAGTTATAATCATGAATGCTTGACGAGATTTACAAGTATTAGCATTAATTGAATAAGATGACTAATGTAATCATGTTAACAATATATAATCTGATTGGAACCTCCTTTTTGTGTGGTTTCCAATTCAATAATAAGAGTTTATACTATACTTGTTTGATATACCATTAGTGGAACCTCTAACCTTGACATTTGTTATTATTATTGTTTTTGTCATTGTTGTTATTATTGTTATTATTATTATTATTGTTGTTGTTATTGTTATTGTTATTGTTGTTGTATTATTGTTATTTATAATTTGTACAATTAACCTCCTTGTGGTTCGACCCCGGTCTTGCCGGGTTATTTTTTACTTCGACACTCCTGCACTTGGGAGAAGACATCAATCTTTTAGTCGTGTCAATAATCTCTATCTATAGTATTCTTTCAAAAGAATAAGACAATCCTCTGATTCTTCTGTTGGATTTGATATATGGTGACTTGATTTATTTATGAAATCAAGCCAAGATTTGTATTTTGCAAGAACTCAAATTTAGATGTGTATTACAAAACAAGATTCGGTGATATGATGCTTTGAAGGGTATTTTTGATTTGTCTTCAAAGTATTGTTAAAGAACTCTTATGGGGTGTTTAAGCTTAATCCAACAAAGCGTTTTTCTTTGTAAACTTCAAGCGTAAATGAAGAAGGTTTTGAGAACTTTCGAGAGAGCTTTCTTACTTGAAGAGTCTGTCTTGAGAGCTTTCTTCATAGTTGAACTCCTCTATTTATAGAGGTTCGTAGGGACTCTCAGGTTCTTTTCCAATACCACATGACATGATTTTATTAGTGTATCTTTGTTGATAGGATCTTGCATTTATGACAAGAAATCTTGAATATCTTATCGCAAGTGTCGACCTTTCATTAGCCAAAAATATATACAAAGGCTCATTTATTTTTATGTCATTTATTTTATTTTATTTTAAGTTTTCCTTTTATACAAAAATAAAATAATAAATGACATATGGTGGAATTTGATTTATAGAATTTTTTTTGTTTATACAGTCTCATTGTCTCAGCCACAACAGAAGTTTCAGCCGATTATTCCTTAACAATAGTAGTGATTGTCTCTACTTTTTCCTTTCAAGGCTGTGTGAGTCTTTTTGTTCTGTTTTAAATGCAATGGCATAATGTTGTTGTATGATAAGACCTTCCGGCGTGTTTTAATTTTTTTTAAAAAAATAAGATGCTAGTTGAAGTTCATAAAATCATTAATTTTTATTTCTCCACATTCTTTTACCCTTTCATATTTAATATATGAAATTGTGAACTACATGAAAGATGTTTTTTCAATATAAAATAAATCGGTATTTTTTCCAAAAAAACAACAAAAATCTTTCTTTCAAAAATACAATTTATTTTAAATTGCATATGGCTATGTCTCTCAAAAATAAAATAAAAATCATATCTTGCTTAAAGAAAATTAAATACATGGTGTTTTAATATTTTCATATAAAAATTCAAAACATATATATTTACATGCATTTTGGATTTAATAATCAGTTTACTGAATTCATGAGAATTTAGCCAATATTTCAATAATATCTAAAATTTAATTCATGAGAATTAATAATAAATATTCTGGTATAAATGTTGGACATACAAGTAGGTTGATATTTAAATATCAAGATTTGACCAAAAAATTCTTAAAACTATTTTGAATATTCACTAAGTTTAATTGAGAATATTTCTCGCTACAACACACAAGTTGTGAAAAATCCTATTACCTTCCAAGATAATTAAATCTATTAGGCATCTTTATGGATTCTTTTCATAAGAATTTATTTAAATTCAGAGAACTATAATAAATTAAAAAATTATATTTATTCACACGAATAAATCTTCATCTTAAGCTATAAATAAACCACCTGTTAATAATTCATTAAACTTCAAACCATATTTAAATCATATAATATAATTTGTTTTAAGTAAATTATATTAAAAATACTAATATCTTTTTCAGTTATAATAAGTTCTTTGATAAAACTAATATATCTAAAGTTTTCCACCAAACTTAAAGCAAACAATTAGATAATGATTCTTTCTACACGGACACCACACGTAGACGTACCACATGGTCGACAAAATAAAACCAGCATTGATTCAAGAATTGATAATTATACGAGTCTCAACCGTAGGGATCTCAGAAGAGCCAATAGAGGGTATCCGAGATGCATCTAACCCTGGTAGCAACTACCAGGCGACAACAAAACGGTAGCGCCCACTCTAGATGAAGGAAAGAACGCAAACCACAGAAATCTTGATTTAGTGAAAGTAGTCTGAAAAGGGATAAATAATTTACAATACTTTCTTCAAAGAACTGAAATGGGCTCGACGGACAAATCGTTTTGATCCAATCCAGGGTCAAATAAAGACAACAAACGGGCTATCGAGGCAGTCACCACTATGGGGGAAACGAGCCTTTCATAGCAGTCTCCACTATGTCTTTCATATGCTCCATGGACTCAACAAAAAATGGAGTGGTGGTCGGAGCAAGCCACCCCAATCTAGTGTCAGACAAAATTCAGAGAAAATCATTACCTGAAACCAGAGCTAAAAACTCCTTATTTCATTTCATTTCATTCTTGCTCTTCATCTTCTGAAGTTTTTTTTAGTGGTTTTTATTTAAAAAAATATTATTTTGATTTTTTTTCAATACCAAATATACTTTTAAAATACATTAAAACATAATTTTAAAAAAAATCATTAAATCTCTATTAAAAAAAAAGGGGTAGAAGTTTTGGGCCCGCATGAAGAATTAAATACATGATTATTACTTTTCAATTTATTGTTACAAGTCACCTCGAACCTATTTTAAGGGGGGTGTTCAGCTCTGGTAGAATTAAAATTTTGAAAAAAAATTAATTTTTTTATAATTTAATTTAATTTTTTGAAAAAAATATCCTTTTTAAACACCCCTAATTTATAATGAGCGTGCAAATTGTCATATATATATATATATATATATATATATATATAGTGTTCCGTTCTGTAAAGTGTACCGGTCCATTATTTTTGATATAACTATTCAAGCATTAATAATTAATTCCTCCTTCCAAAATGTAAAGAAATATAGTTTTTTCTATATTTTAAATATCATGTCTCCGTTCTTTATTTTCATTAATTACAAAGCTCTCTCAGGGTAGCGGGGATTTCTTTCTTTTTTGTTTTTTCAATATGCATATGAATTTGCCTCCAATGATAAATATTTATGGATCTGCTTTGTACGTATAAACAGTAGATAAGGAAAAAAAGGCACTATATGCTCAATATACCCAAAAAAAAAAAACGTAATATAAGTTGCTATATATAAAATTTATTGAATGTCATAATATAGAAAAACAGATGGGAATTCTTATTTAGTAGCACTGCTGTATGTCTCGAGCTTCCCAGTAGCAGGACTAGAGGAAAATGGTTACTAATCACTGTCTGCCTTGAACAAGTCCAAACGCTTAGCAGTTGAGCATTTTACTCGCCACATGGATTCATGAAATTCTTTGTACGTAAAATCTTTATATATTGCTGGATGATCATCGTCTATCAACTTCTTAGCTGGTCCTATCTCCGCATCATCTGATGGATAGCAATAACTAGCAATGGATACACGCTCTTTCTCACAATTCACTATAGCTTGATGAAGCAAACTCTTGTATCGACAATTGCTAAGTGCCTGATACAAAAAATAAAATAAAATCATAATTAGTCTTTTTTTTTTTAATAAATCTACCTTTAATTATATAAGTGGTTAAACCAATTATTTCCATCTTGATAATAAATTTACCTTTAATTAGTCAATAAAGAGAGTTAGGATAGTAGATGTGAGTGGTGATCTAAAGGGCATAAAAGAAAAATTGATAATAATAACTCAAAGTAGTAAAAGAAATTAATCAATTGATTGGGATAAATTTTCAATTTTGACAAACTGTACTCAATTCATTGAAATGAAACATATAGTAACTTGTTCAATCGAAATCGATAATAAAGGAGTTCTTTTTGGTGAGAATATAGTATACAAATAATGATTTTAGCCATTATATTGCATATATATTAATCATCATGCTATAAAACAAAATTCTAAATCCCTTTTATGCTATTTTACGTAAAAAACTTAATGCTAATGTTTTCTTTGATGCATATTTTTCTAAATTAGCATAAGAAACAAACTATTTATATCCATATTCAGAAATTTATAAGAATTTTATTTTGAATCACTTTAATTAGCATGTGTAGATCAATATATTAATCACCTGCAACATATCTCCAACATGGACAACGACGGCATTGGGAATAGGATTAACATCAATCCACTTATCATCGTTAATAACCTGAAGTCCAGGCACATCATCTTGCATCAGAATAGTGATTAAAGTTGGGTCAGTATGAGTCCTGACTCCGTAAGTGACATCTAGTTCTGACTCCTGACAAGCTGGATAGAAATTGATGGATACATAATGTCCTTTCAATATTTTGCCTATATAATCTCTTTCCAGGCCTAAGCTCTCTGATATGGCCTCAAGTATTGCTACCTCCACCTTTCTAACACTTGCACAATATTCACCAACCTTTTCCCTGTCAAAATTGTTTAAGTATACCGTGAAATACTTGAATAAAATAATTAAAGTGAAAAGGTCTGGATAATTATATTAATGTGAAAATTTATTTGCCTGAAAGAAGGAGGAGTCGAAGGCCATTGGTTCTTGAAATCTTCGACCGGGTGACAGTGAAATTTCAAAGATTGTCTTGAAACAAAGATATTCCGGGTCTTATCTTGAAAACCGGTAACCAGCCTGATGATACTGTTAGGGTCAGATGAGCGAAATTTCAGCCTTTCTTCTTCTGGCAAGTGGAAGAAATCTCTTGCCGTGTCTAGCATGTTGTTGATCTTCATTTTTGGAATTCCATGGTTTTTGACCTGATCATGGTGTAGCATTTAATGTTAGAATTATAACATTCCAGCATATGATATGCACCATCTGGATTATAATATATCGAATTACAACAAAAGGAGATTTTAACTGCACGAAGAATATATCATGAATTGTGAGGAGTGGCAAACAAGATAATCAAAGTCGGGACTTATGCTATTATTATCGCTGGTTGTCTGCAGCTTGTTTTCTGCTGTCCTTTATTTGGTTGACACCTATTGCTGGTTGCCATCCTCTTATTGAAGGCTAGATAGGTGTATTTCCTTGAAGCTAGTAGTAGTATATCTTTTTTTCTTTCTTATGGAAGGCTAGCTAGGTGTAGTAGGAGGAATGGTAGCTGTTGTCTGCAGCTTGTTTTTTTTTTCTCTCCTTGTATTATTTGACACCTATTGCCGGTTGCCATCTTTTTTTGCTTTCTCGCGGAAGGCTAGCTAGTAGTAGATGATTTCTTGTGGAAGGCTAGCTAGGTGTGGTGGTATCTTTTTTGCTTTCTAGCTAGTGGTGGTGGTAATCTTATCATCGATTAAACTAATTTTAACAGGAAAAAAAAAGATTAATTAAAGAGTAAACACTTCAAAAGTTATGAAGAATGTATGCAATAATATCATTTTTGTACCGCAAAAAAGCCGTTGTTCTCGCATGCATGGCCAATCTGTCTGACGAACTCAGAACGCTGAGGACCGAGAAGACCTTCCATGTCGATGATAGGGGTAGAGCCATCAACTGATGCATCAACACCAGAGAGTGTTGGAACCTCTGAAAGCGGATCAGTGTAGGTGAAGGCACCATTTTTGGGCTCTGATAATGAAAGGCGATGGGCATCAGCTTGTTGCAGCATAGTGGGAGACATGATTGAAATTCAAATGCAGGGAGTACTTGACTTCAATCTACAGAAGCTTGTGGATATGATGATCTGAGTATGTTGGTTTGCAGTTCTATAATTCCCTATTTATAGGAGGAAACTACATAGAGTATCATGCATCATGGTATTGGTCTTGCACCAAAGGAAACTACATAGGACTATCAAGCATAATGGTAGTGGTCTTGCACCAAACACTTCATCTCTCTATATTTTTTAATTCTCCTAGTCAAGAGATGAATAAGTCTTGCACGAAAAGCACAAAAAAGGAAATAACATGCAGTCTTATATTATGACATAGATAGGTACAGAAAATTATATTCTTTCTCCTACGCGGCTGTTTTGTGCAAACTAATATAGTTATTGCTTTTAAAATATTATTGCTTAAAAAATATAGAATTATTTTTTATATATATTTTTACTTGTACTAGTATGGTTATATTTCACTGCATAGATAGTTGTAATTCGTCAAGAAAGGGTAAAAAAAAAAAAAAACAGCGACTAACTTCAATACATTTGGCCATCTACTTTTGTTTCGGAGATAAAGTTGGATTTAATAATAAATAATAAAAGAACAAAAATTTAATAAGAATTATTCCATCTTAATAATGACAATCAGACGTTTAATTATAGGTGAACATCATTGATTATCTGGCTAAACATTAAGTTGTCGTGATGAGCTCTCTCATATAATGTTCCAATTATTAATCACTTGATTCAAAGAAAATAAGAATTGAATTCTAGCTTAGGAATTACTTTGATTTCTCTCTTTTTAACACCAATTTATTAAAAGAAAAACCTTTGGTATTCATAAAATGTAAAGAGCTCAATGCCACCATATCTATTAATGCCTTTTATGTAGTTAAAACTTTTTGTTTATAATTTTTTTTTTTCAAATCAAACTTACCAAAGTTTATTTAATAAAGCTTTAGTTGAAACAATGTTTATAATTAATTTAGGAGGCTTATGTAATGTAGTAGCCATCACTTATATTTATATAAGTAGAGAAAAATACAATAGTTACTATGTAGCACACTGTGCAATATAATTATATACAAGAAAAATACAATCTTTTATAAATTATAACATATTTCATAATACACCCCCTCAAGCTAAAGGTGGGTTGTCCATTTAAAGCTTGGATTGTAAATAGACAAATGTAGTGTGAGAGAGCAACTTAGTAAAAACATTAGCTAATTGATCTTTGAAGGGTATGAAGCAAATCTATATCTCCTTTTTAGCAACTCTATCATGAACAAAGTGATAATCAATTTCTGCATGTTTGATACGTGCATGAAACACTAGATTAGCATACAAATAAGTAACATCCAAATTATTGCACCAAATGGTGGTAATAGAACTGGGAGAGAAGCATAAATCTAAAAACATATAATGGAGCCAAAGAACCTCAGCAGTATCATTAACTAAGGTCTTATATTCTATTTTAGTAAAGGAGCAAGCAATAATACGTTGCTTACAAGATTTCCATGAGATGGGAGTGGTGCCAAGAAAGACGATGTAGCCATTAGTAGATTTTTTATCATCAATACTCCATGTCCAGTCATCATCAGTAAAACCATACAATGATAAAGAGGAACCTCGAATAAGGTGAAGGCCAAAAGAGGATGTACCTTTCAAGCATCGTAAAATATGTTTGACAGCAACCTAATGACTCTTAGTAAGAGCATACATAAACTGACAAACTTTGTTGACAACATAATAGATGTCTGGTCTAGTAAATATGAGATACTGAAGAGAACCTACAATTTGCTGATAACAAGTGAGATCTAAGTATAAACCACTAGGCTGTAGACCAACCTTTGAAATAGAAGTTGGTGTATCAATAGGCTTTCAGGATGAGATATCAGCCCAACTACGAATATTAAAAGCATATTTGTGTTCGTTAAGTATGAGCCCCATGTTGGTGGGAGTGACCTCAATTCCTAAAAAATAATAAGCATGACCCAGATTCTAGAGTTTAAATTTTAAACTAAAACAAACTAAAAAGGCGACAAAGCAAAGTAGAATTATTACAAATACATAGAATGTCATCTATATAGAAAAACAAATAGCAGATATCATGATTCATAATCATAATAAATAAAGAGATACCAACCTTCAAATCGTGAAAGCCAATCAACAGAAGAAAGTTAAAGTCACTCGATCTTATATACCAAGCCCATGGAGCTTGTTTTAAACCATATAAGGACTTATGAAGGCAAATGACATGAGTGGATAGAGTAGGGTCAATAAAACTCATGGATTGTTGCATATAAACAACCTCTTGAAGGGAACCATTGAGGAAGGCATTATATATATCAAGCTAATGAATCTACCAATAGTTAAATACAACAATGGCAAGGATGAGCCAAATAGTAATTGGTTTAACAACAAGATTGAAGGTTTAGGAATAATCAATAACTTCCTGTTGAGTGAATCTACACGCAACCATGGGTGTTTTGTAACTATCACTAGCACCATTGGGCCAACACTTAATTTTGTAAACCCAACAGTAACTAGTAATATTTATGGAAAGTTTAAACGGAACCAAGGATCAAATGTTATTATCATGTAAGGTTGCGATTTCAGATCTCATAGTAGACTACCAACATAAAACTAGTTAGCATCTTTCAAATTTAAAAGTACATGATCAAAAAAACATGTTACCTGTGAGTATGTCAACAACAGAGAAATGAAGCTCAGGTTAGAAGACTTATGTTGTCAGGGAGCAACATCATATGGTGTTGGCGAGAAACCACTAGGGTAACAAACTTGACTAGCATGGGCTACTGTATATGCGATGATGAATACCACTAGTTTTGAAGAAGGATTTAATTTACGATATTCACCACCCCAATCAATTTGAATTGATTTTATTTTACAAGAGAATCGTCGTTCTACCAAGACTTGAAATTAGTGAAATATATTAAACATATCAAATTTTGCACCAAGAGGATAAAGCCAAATAAATTTTGTTTGCGCATCCATAAAAATCATAAGATATTAGAAACTATCAGAAGATTAAATAGGGGCAAGGCCCTAAACATCACTAAAAATTAGTTCAAATAGAGCAAATGTTTTATGACTCGTAGGTCCTAATAATAGACGCGATGGTTTTCCTAGTGGACATGCTAAGCACTGAAAATTTAAAAGACAGGAGGTACATGTAACCTTTTTATTTGACGCTAGGAGACTTAGAACCTGGGAGCTAGGGTGACCAAATCAACGATACCAAACATCAATAGAAGTGGATAAGCTAGCACACAAAAAATTTTGAGCAAAAACATGGCAAAAGACTTTGAAATGACATAGAGGCCATCTTTACTTTGATTGAAAAGTAGAATTGCCTTGATTATGATATCCTTAACATAGACAACAGAAAAGTAAAATTTAAAAAATACATAATTTTCACAGTAGAATTGTTGAATAGATAGGAGTTGTTTCTTAATTTGTAGCACATGCAATATATTAGACAAAGTAAATACTCATTTAGGGGTACGTAAGATATTATAGGCTATATTATATATGACAAGTTCTTTACTATCACTAACATGTAATTGATCATTACAAAGATAGGGTTCTACATATGTCATAACAACAATATCTAGAGTAACATGCTGATTTGTGCTAGTGTCAGGAAACCAAATGACAAAATTTATTACTGATGAAGCGTAACTAAAATAGAGATTAGCCGATTTTTTATTCTCATAGTGCACAACTGTGAGTAGTGCTGTGCGGAATGCCCAAACGTGTTGCAGAGTTGACACTTCAGCTAACACCTTCACTGACTAGCGGTGGATCTATTTTGCTGCCAGTATAGACGATGTTGCTGCTAGTTTCTATGGTGCTACTGCCAGTTATGCCCATTGTTTTCTCATCTAAAACTGTTACTACCACTATATTGGGTAGAGAAGGGGCGCATGTTACACAAGCTAGGACGATGTTACTGCTAGTTTCTATGGTGCTACTGCCAATTATGCCCATTGTTTCCTCATCTAAAATTGCTACCACCACTATATTGAGTAGAGAAGGGGCGCATGTTACACAAGCTACAGAAGAGGAAGAACTAATATCATTAAACCCTGAAAATACCCACTAGGCAATCAAGGTAGAAAGGGGTTGTGTACATATTGGTAGCAGCGGTACTGTAGTAGTGGGACTGAATTAAAGAGAGCTCTAATTTAAAAATTCATGAGTGAATAAGTGGTTATAGAGTTCAAATTATGGTAAAGGGTCAGCTTTTGTTGAAAAACTTGTAACAAGATCATGAAAGTCACTGTGGCAACCATGAAAAACATATAAATTGAAATCCGTGAGAGAGATAAGGCAACATGCGGCAGCGAGTTCATTAAAAAACCTTTTTGTTTTCTGCAAATAGGTGGTGACAGAATCATCACCTTGGCGAAGATCTTATAGACAGCGATGTAATTGCATGATTCAAGAGTTTAACGAAGATGTAAGAACATGTTCTAGTGTGCTTAATACACTTGTAGATGTAGGGCAATTTATCACAAAATGGAGCATGTCTATAAACAGAGAGGAGAGGAGGCCGCTGAAAATGAGTTGATCTTATTATTTTCATGCCAAAAAGGATCGGGAAAAACTAGAATCGTTCGCTGTTTCAGTGGCAGCAACATTATTATGTGAAGAAGGATATATCATTGAGCCATCAACAAAGGAGATGACATCTTGACCAATTAGATATGGATTCATTTACATGTGACAAAACAAATAATTAGTGTTGGTAAGCTTAAGGGTGATTACTTGCTGTGTGTTAGAAAATGGGATGGTGGCTAATTTTACAATAGAAACTATTGCAGCAGTCATAACTTCATTGTCTGTAGAGACAAATACATTCAAGGAAAAAGCAAGAGAGCAAGAGTTGTCATTGTTCATGGTTATGATAACAACAAAAACATCCATTAAGGAAGGCTAGATAAATTGAAAAATTATTGCTGGAGAAATAAACGGCAATAAAGCCTGCTGAGTATAGGAGGCTGGAATACTGCAATAGGAGATGACTTTACTAGTTGAAGATGCTAC